CACGGCTATCTAGGCCTGAGCTGCTCAAAGGTACTCTCTGTGTTTCCATGGCTTTTGCTTCCTGGTTAGATCTTCTCTCTATTCGTGGGAATATCTCGTCCCCCTTGCATCAACAGAGGGAGAATATCTGTTGTAAGGGGGATGTCAAAACCCAAAAAGTGGATAATTGGTAACAACCCACTGTGGCACATACCCACGACAACCAGGCTGCACAGGGGCTGGGTGTGGACAGACATCATGTCCACAGCAGCAACTCACAGGTGCTGGAAACCAAATTTAGGATCTTAGGAGTGCACACAGACTCACGAGGCTTTCTCAGTAATCATGCGTGTCTCTGTCATGGGAGGTACACAATGGACACGCCTCAGCCTGTTCCGTCTATGAGGGCAGCAGCCCCTCCTGCAGGTCCCTCCTCCAGAAGGCCATCTATCTGTGTCTCGAGGTCCCTCAGTAACCTCGAGGCAGAGGCCTTCTGTCCCTGATGCCTGCTCTCGGAGGGCTATGTCTTAATCTGTTTTCTGCTGCCATAACAGAGTATCATGTATTTTTAGTTTATAAACAATGGAAGTTTATGTGGGTCAAGGTCCTGGAGGTGTGGAAGCCCAAATTCGAGGGGCCGCGTCTTCCCAGGCAACGGCATTACCTGGCAAGAGAGCAGAGAGACCCAGAGGGGGCCAAGCTCACTCTCGTAACTAAAACAGCTCTCGTCCAGTCATGACAGCAGGGTCCTCAGACCCGGTCACCTTTTCTTAGGCCCCAGCTCCAAGCACAGAGGCATTGGGGTGAGGCTTCCCACACGTGACCTTTGGGGGACACATTAAACCCCAGCAGGCTGCCTCGTCCCCTGCTCATTTTGGTTGTTTCATTGAAACGTGGGTGTGATGGATGCTCGTTTCTCTCTGAGGGGGTGGGATGGGCTGTCATTCCAGGGAAGGGGGGCTTTGGGGTTTCACTGTCCAGACTGTGTCCGTTTCCTATTGCAGTTGACAAATCACCGCAAACAGTGGCTAATCACGTGCATTCATGGTCTATAGCTCTGGGGGCCAAAAGTTCTAACCTCAAATTGTGGGCAGGGCTGGTCCCTTCAGGAGGTTCCAGGGAGAATCCTTTCCTTGCCTTCTCCAGCTCCAGGGGCTGCACGCACAGATGCTCACACACATGCATGCACACACAGACGTGCTCAAACACACGCATGCACACACAGACATGCTCACAGTGCACACAGGCACATGCACACACATACATGTGCACACAAACATGCTCACACATATGCACACGCACATGCGCACACACATACATGTGCACATGGACCGGACATGCTCACACTCGTACACAGGCACAGGCACACGCATACATGCACACACAGACATGCTCACATACATGTGCACACAGACATACGTACACATGCGCATGAACATGCCCACACACGTGCACATGGACATGCTCATATGTACATGTGCACACAAACATGCCCCCACACGTGTGCATATGGACATGCTCACACACGTACACTCAGGCACATGCGCACACATACGCACATGAACATGATCACGCACATAAATGTGCACATGGACATGATCACACACGTGCACACGGACATGCTCACACGTATACTCAGGGACATGCACACACATACATGTGCACACCAGACATTTTCACACATGTACACACACAGGCACATGCACACACATACATGCACACAAGGACATGCTCACACACGTGCACACGGACATACACATGGACACTCAGGCACATACACACATGCACACACTGGACATGTTCACACGTACACACTCAGGCATATGCACACATACATGCGCACACAGACATGCTGATGCACATACACATGTGCACACGGACATGCTCACACACATACACGTGCACATGGACACGCTCACACACGTACACACAGTCACACACATACATGCACATACACATACACGTGCACATGGACATGCTAACACATACAGGCACATGCACGCACGTGCACACGTATGTGCTTACACAGGTACCTACATGTGCAGACATGTTCATACATGGACACACTCGGGCACATGCACACATGTGCACACAGACATACATAACACATAACATGTGCATGTACACAACACGTGCACACGGACATGCTCACACACGTGTACACTCAGGCACATGCACACACGTTCACACTGCAGTGCTCACATTGCACATACACTCAGGCACATGCACCCACAAACACACATGTGCACACGGACATGCTCACATACATACACACACACACACATATACACACATGTGGACTTACCATCTAGTGAGGCAGTGCTGTCTCCCCGGAGGCCTGCATGTGCAGGTGGGTTGAGGTCCCCCGTGTGCTGCGGGCCAGGCCTGCTGTGCTGTGAGGCGCTGGCCATGGGGGTGGGCTTCACTTCTAGCTGACCCAGTTGGTGGCCACATTCCTGGTGCCCAGGCCTTGTCCCTGGCCAGTGCAGCCTTCACACGTAACAGCATGAACAGATTCTTCCTGCCCAGACTGTGGCAACAGGCAGGCCCTCTCCTTCAGCTCGGGACTGCTGGGCAAAGCACAGGTGTAACTCCGGAGCCAAACCCGTGAAGGCCCCAGCTCCGGAGCTGTTCCCCCAGGACTCTGGGAGGGAAAGCCCCAGTTCCTGTCCAGAGAGGGTGTGAGGAAGGAGCCCCTGTGTGCACAGGCTCCACCTCTCTCTCCAGGACCCAGGTGGGAGAGGCCCCAGGCAGCCGATGGCCTCAACACATAGCAGTTTGCTGAACCCAGAATCGGCATCTTTGCTTTAATTTTTGGCTCTTCTAGGAAGAATCTAGTTGGTACCCACTTCTCACCAAGCACCTGGCCCATTCTGGGGCAGGGTGTGCTTCCCTTTCTGAGCAGCTAAAAGATGTTTGAAGGGGTGGGGCCTGTGGGCAGGAACCTGTCTGGGTCTGGAGCTCTGGGAGGTGGACAAAGGGGTTCCAGAATATTCCAGGCTGGTGCCAAATCTGCCACAGCAGCCTTGTCTGGCTCCTGGCTCAGCTCTTCCATTCTGAAAGGGCCCGTGGCTTCCCCCCGCCTCCACCGCTTTCAGTAGGGAATGCTGCTGTCTCTTCACATCCTTCTGCCAACCTGGGGCCCAGGCACGTCTCATGGAATCTAAAGTTGCTTTTGAAGGAATTCTTTCTGCATGGAGCAGATTCCTTCTCCTCCGGCAGGGTCTGAGTGCGCTCCTCCTGGCCAGGATTCTGAGAGAATGGCATCAGAGGGGGATGAGGGTCCCTGGGCGCCTCCTCATCTCCTCAGACCTCCCTCTTCACTCAGGACTCCACAGCGGGGCATGGCTGGGAGGGAACCGCATGTGTGGGGACCAGGATGGGCATCAGGTAGAACCTTAGGTCGTCAGCAAAGCCCTCGGCGGGTCCCCAGGGCCACTCACCTCCCTGCACCGGTGTCTCCAGCCAGTCCCATGTGTGCCTGCCCTGTAGCCTGTTGTGGTCCCTTTCCTGCTGTCGTGGGTAAAACTGTGTTCCCTGGAAAGATGTGTTGAGTCCTGACCCCCAGCACTTGTGGGTGTGGCCTCATGTGGAGATGGGGCTGCTGCAGATGCATGAGCTCAGATGGAGTCACCCTGGAGCAGGAACCGTAATCCAACCACTGGTGTCCGTGGAAGATGGGGAGAGACACAGGCAGACAGATGTGTGGCTGGGTGGGGCCACAGCCAAGGGTGCTGGCCCCCCAGAAGCTGGCAGAGGCAGGGTGGCTTCTCCACTGGTGTGCATAGCCACACCAACCACCCGCTTGCTCCAGGCCCTGGGGATTCCACCCTAGGATGCGGGTGATTCAGAGGTTTGGCCTGCAGTCCCCGCCAGAGGGGTTGTGCCTGGGGGTCTGACGCATTCAATGTAACTGAGGGAAGCTGGGTTCACCAGGCTGCCTGGGAGGAGACCTCGTCTACTTGCAGGTGCACCTCAGCACAGAGTTGGTGGGGGGTCCCAGCTGGGGCAGTCAGCCTGGGTCAGCGCAGAGCCTACCTCAGATGGCCTCTGCCCATGGCAGCGACTCGTGAAATTCTGTTGAGGTGGCCCTGGGGCCCCAGGCTCTACAGTTGCCCAAGTTGATGTCAAGCTTTGAGCTGTGGTTCTTGCCTCTGGAGCAGCTCTCGCCACCATCCAGGCAAGTGGTCTCTAGCTAAAGTGAGTTTTCCTCTTATTTTTTAACTAAACAAGCCCATGTTAGCAATACCCGGGCTGCCCCCAGGATGGCATTAGCCCATCACAATGCTCCCTGTGACAGGGACCCCCCACCAAGGAATCTGGTGCAGAATCCCACAGTGTCCTGTGTCTGCCCTGTGTGATGCATGCTGCCACATCACTGCACACATAAGAATCATGTGCATATTTCACAAACTTTAAAATAGCCAAGCCCTTGGCCTGTAGCACTATTTGTAGGAAATTAACCTAGAGAAACAATCAGATGTGAGATGACGATTTGCCTGTGCAGTATTTATGACAGTCAAGAATCACTGGAGGCCGGGCGCGGTGGCTCACGCCTGTAATCCCAGCACTTTGGGAGGCCGAGGTGGGTGGATCACGAGGTCAAGAGATGGAGACCATCCTGGTCAACATGGTGAAACCCCGTCTCTACTAAAAATACAAAAAATTAGCTGGGCATGGTGGCGCGTGCCTGTAATCCCAGCTACTCAGGAGGTTGAGGCAGGAGAATTGCCTGAACCCAGGAGGGAGGTTGCGGTGAGCCGAGATCGGGCCATTGCACTCCAGCCTGGGTAACAAGAGCGAAACTCTGTCTCAAAAAAAAAAAAAAGAATCACTGGAAACCCTGATTAAATTTTGAAACATACATCCCAGGAAATATTTGCCCAGCTATTTAAAACCATGTAGAAGGGTAGCATCATGAAAAAACGTTTGAGTGAAAAATGTGTTACACACAATACACATTGCTGTTATAATTTTGTGTAAAAGGGCATCAGAAAGACAAAGAAAAGACCTCCAGGGGATGCTGTTGAAGTACATTGTATTTTTCTTTTCTATATTTTCCAAAGTGAACACAATGATTTCGTACTCAGAAAAAATACATATTACTTGTTTTATGCATCAAAGGTAATGGTCATTTGTGTGTGAGAACTTTAGATGATGGTGTCCGGGCCAGCAGTCCTGCCAGATTTTATGCCCAAAAGAACGTCTCCGAAGTGTCCTTAATCACTGATTCTGCGTTTATGGTTTACATTAATGTGAATTCCAGACTTCCCTGCTGGTTAAAGCCATGAGAAAGACAGAAGTCCAGCAGCTCCTCCTGTTCCTTCCTCTCCCGCCCCTCCCCGCCCTGTCCCCACTTCAGAAGTCAGTTGTTCAGTCGTCCATGTGGGGACTGCACCCTGCTGGCTGCTGGGACACAGGGACCTGCTCACATGTCATACTGGCCCCCGAGAGGGAGGTGCCAGCGGCTGCAGCTGCCCTCCCATCACCGCACGGAAGCCATCACCTACACAGGTGCCACGTCCCCTCCGCTGCGGTGTGAGCCCTGGACGGGCAGGAGCCACCAGCCTTGCTCAGTGCTGCGCCCCAAGCGGGCCCCGGTTGCCCGGAATCAAGGGTTCGTTTCCAGATTTCCCTGAGCAGGTCTGGGGCCACGGCTCCAGAGCAGCCCTGACATGCTGGTGTTACACCCAGGGCTCTCCCAGGTCACCATGAGCTTCTGGATTTCCTCACACAGCCCCGTTCCAGTCTCCACCCTTCTTTATTCCCCTCCCAAGACACGGAGTGAGGCTGTGCAGAAAACACCTGTGCCTGCCCTGGTGTGGCCGGGGCCACTGCCCCTCTGCAGCCCGACTCCCCTAGCCTCGGGGGTTGGCTCTGGGAGCTGGGCCCTGCCTGCTGCAACTCCCATTTCTTACCTCTGTTAGTGGCTGATGATCCGGAATGGTCGCTATGAGGATATTCGGTATCCAGGTGTTGCGTTACCTTCCGCCTCCCTCCTGGGGTGCCTCTGGTTCCTGGGAGAGAGGCCGAGGCAGGATGGAAAGAAGCCTGTCCCTTGGGAGACACGGCTTGGGACCTCACCTAGGTGTGCTGGGTCTGCCTGTCGGGAACTCTGCAGTGCTGTTCTCCTCACAACCCCACAGTGTCCTAGATGCAGGTACCACAGGTCTGCGTCTTGGTGCCTCTGTGTGGCCTGAAGCAAGTCGCTGAACCTCTCTGTGCCTGTTCTATAAAATACTAAAAACGGTGCCACCTCCCAGCTCTCCGTGGAGATCACTAGTTCACAGCATGAGGAGGGCTCTGGTGGGTGCCCGGTGTTCTCTAGCGCCGGGCACAATGGTGACAGTTGTTCTTTAGATAAGTATTAAATGATTTTTATGGAAAGATGGCATCATTTGTGCTACAAGTTAAGACAGAATAAAGACTTGACAGAGCTAGAGAGAGAGAGTTTAACAAATCAACTCCTGAAATTGTGGGTGTTGGCAAACCGAAATCTGCCAGCGGTGGGGCAGCCAAGGCTGGGGAGAGTTGGGCTGTATCCGGGAAGAGGCAGAGTACCTCTTCCTCAGGGAACCTGTCTCTTTCTCTCAAGGCCCTTGATGGATTGGATGAGGCCCACCCACATTATGTCATGTGCTGTACTCAAAGTCTACTGATGTAAGTGCCAATTCCATGTAAACACACCTTCACAGAGACAGTTAACCTAGCATTCGACCCAAAATCTGGGCACGGTGGCCCAGCCACGTTGATAAATAATAAAGCCAATGATCACAGAGACCAACGGTCTCCACCCTGGTGCCCTAACGTGACATGGTGCCGGCTAGAGGATGTTGGCCAGGCAGAGCGGATGGCACAGGGTTGAGGAAAGAAGCTGATGGCATGTGTGGAATGCCCGAGGGTGAAGAGGGAGATGAGAGAGGCAGGAGAGGTGAGAGGGTGTGGCCCTTTCCTTTCATCTTGCTTTTAAGACGCAACAGATTTCAGCATTGGCTCTTAAAGTGTGGACCAGCATATTCAACATCCCAGGGAATTTTGCTAGACGTGCACATTCTCAGGCCCCACCCCAGACCTCCTGGATCAGCAAGGAGCCATCAGAGAGCAGCTTTGTGGGTTTAACAAGCCCTTGGGAAATCCCGATGCAGCCCAAGGCTGGGCAGGCTGGAGGGCACCTGCGTGCCAGGAGAGCGGCCAGAGGGGAGGGCAGGTGCCCAGAGGGAGTGTGGCCTGGGCTGTGTGGGCTGGGGACTAGGGAGGGTGTTGTGTCTTAGTGGAGAGGGCAGGGCCTGCATTTCAGGACCCTTCTGCCTGGACAGGCTTTCCCTGAAGCTGGAGGGAGCAGGGTTGGGGCGGGGGTGTGGGAGGGGGCGTGGTGAAGGTTCCCTGAACTGACAGGGAATGAGTAAGGAGTAGACCTTCTGAGGCACGTTTTGCAGACCATGGGTAGACAGGAGGTAGCAACTGTGCAGCTGCAGGCACAGTGGGGTTGTTTCAGCACTGGACAGCCCAGGGGACACTTATCCACTCCCTGAGGCCTTTCCACAGTCCTCCCTTCACTGGGCTCCAAAGAGATTATGTAGAACCCAGTGAAACTGCTGATACTCAATACGTATCTCATGTTTAAAAAAGCCATTTCTTACAGATTTACTCAGTACTTTCTGTCTGTGGTTATTATACCTTTTGTTCTGTAATTATTTATTTTTTACACTTATTTATTTCCAGATCTATCTAGCCTATGCAGACCTGCGGGCGCTATAAGGCAGTACCGTGTCACCTTCATCTTTTTATCCCTTTGCCTCGCTCTGTTCCTGAATGGTCACCACCCTGGAATGTCCAGGCGCACATGTGCCACTGGACAACGGGATGTTGGGGCACACACATGCTCTGCTGGACACTGGGATGCTGGTGCATGTGCACATGTTATTGGCATGAGCTGTAGTTTGAACCTCAGCTATTTGATGCTTGAATTCCCAAACCATTCATGGAAATGGGTACTTCTTCCTGCTGGAATTTTCTCTCTCTCTCTTTTTTTTAACTGATTGTGGGGAGGGGTCTTGTCACATTGCCCAGGCTCAAACTCCTGGGCTCAAATGATCCTTCCACCTCTGCCTCTGCCTCAACCTCTGGAGTAGCTTGGGCCTATGGGCCTGAAATACTGTTTCTTTAAGGAAGGGTGTGTTACCTATCATTCCAAACCACAAAAGGATGCCCCGGTGTTGGGCAAGGAGAGGTCAGAGTTTCTTGCACATGGCCTTGTAGTGGCGGCCATGGCCCTGCATAGAATCTGCAGGTGGCAGCCAGGACGCTACGGGTGTCGAGTGCACATTGTGGCCTGGTGCCAACCATGGCAAGGGCGGGCAGCCCCGTGCCTGCCGCGCGCACTTTCCTCACCGGGTCCTGCGTCCTTGGGCAGGCGATGCCCCTGCCTGGAGGGACCAGTCCACCCCCGGCCAGCCACGGACCCATGCATGGACCCAGCGACCCACGGACCCACTTACCTGGGCGCGGCACGGGTGGCATGCGGCCATACGGAGGGGGCGCGCTAGGCTGCTGTGGCCTCTGCAGCTTCTGCACTTGCCGCGGGGCAGCTAGAGGTAAAGGGAGGCGCGGTCAGGCGCTGCCGCGGCGAGGCAGCTGCACCCGCTCGGTTGTCCACTCGCGTCCCCGCGGCTGCTCCAAAACTGGAAGGCGTGGAGACGCGGAAAGGGGCGGGGGGCGGGGGGACTTGCACGGCATGCATGGGGCTCCCAGGTGACCTAGGCGGTGACACGCGGAGCCCCCAGGTGACCTCGGCGGTGACTGCGGGGCTCCCAGGTGACCTCGGCGGTGACAGAAATTTCTAGGTGACCTGTGTGACTGACACGCGGGCCTCCCAGGTGACCTCGGCGGTGACACGCGTGGCTCCCAGGTGACCCGCGGTGGTGACTCGCCGGGGCGGGCGCGCGCCGCTTCCGCTTCCGCCGAGCCGCCCCCCGCCCCCCGCGGCGCAGCGAGCGCCCCCCTCCCAGTGGCTCGAACCAATCCCGGGAACGGAGGCGACGGCTCGAGGCCGGGAAGCGCTACCACGACCCCTCCCCGCCTCCGCTGCGCCCCCTCCCCACTCGCGCGGCCCCACCCGGCGGGCGCCCCCAGTGCGGAGGAAGCAAATCCGGGAGGATCATTTGTGTTGCGTCGGAGGATGAGGTTTTGGCTGCGGACTGAAGAGATGGCCCTGGAAGAAATGGTGCAGAGACTAAACGCGGTTTCCAGGCACACGGGTAGGAGGAGCTGCGGCCGTCAGTGATCAGAGCTTCAGCTTGACATCAGGGGCTGCATTGTAGGGAAACGCGTCTGGTTTTCTAAGCCACCCTCGTGTTCCTTTCTAGCAGCCAGCTGTGATATGGGGGCACTGGTGGGTAGCCGCTGTGCGTCCAGGGGCTGTCGGCGATTGCATGCTGCCCGGGAGGGTTAAAATGACTGCGCACTGGTGACTCGGGCTCTCTTGGGGACGCTGGGTCTGCATGCGGAGCCATTTGTGTGTCTGAAATCTGCCCATCCACCTGCCTGTCCTCAGCTCTGGCCATGGAGATGGAGAACGCACAAGCGCTTACGAATTGAGAACCCTCTGAGCCAAGGGCTTTCAGAGCTTGGGGTCTCAGAGCCAGAGGCAGGGATGGTGAAGCTGCTGGAAGCTCATTTTGAGGAGGAAAAAATCTGGACGAATCAAGTGGTTCTTTTCTTCATTAAATGCAATTTAAACCTCAGACAGATGTTTGAGACGGTGTGGGTAAAGAGTGGACTCCGGCGTCACTGGACGTTCATTTTCAGTGTTAATCAAAATATTATTTTAAATGAGCTTTGAAGAGCAGTTCAGATAGATTCTTTCAGATGTAAGCAGAGACTGGGCTGACAGCTTGCCTCTGGCCGGGGCTTTCAAGCAGTGGCATCTGAGTTCTCACGCTGCGTTATGCAGAAGGAAGAGGCATCCTTAATAGTTTTCCTTAAAATGAAGAGGAAATAATGATATATCCTTAAGAGTCAGCTGGCAAATGTTTTGTCTGACGTTGCCGTATGTTATGCCCTATATGCCATTACTAGTTGTCTAACTAGGTCTTGCCTGGGAGATGAAAATGTCAGTTACTTGGTTTGGGTGTGGTTCTATCTCTTTCTCTACCCACCCTGATGGACTCTGAAAGCAAACCAATGAATAAATCAGCACAAGTACCATTGTATGGGATGGTCTAATCAAGATGTTTTTAATGTGAGTTTTTGGGATCAAAGCTGCTGGGTTTATTATATCTGGGTTGAAGGAAAACAAAACCATTTTCATGACGTCTGCTCCGGTTTCTTGGAGAATCAGCTCTCTTTTTCTGAAGCTTAAGTGGAGCTTTTCATGCAGGTTTTCAGGGTTTGAGTATGGTGAAGGGCTGTGTGGATGCCAGGTTCACAGGGAGGCTTCCAGTCGGCTGGGAGGGGGAGGAGAAAGCGCCCCCTTGCTCTGTGTGCCTCTGCGTGTGGCTCGGTGTCAGAATCACAGAGTGGGACTGCTCCAGAGAGTGATGTCATTCCCCAGGTTTTTAGGGATTGGGGTTTCTTCATGAGCTCCGAGAGACACCTGCGCATTCTTAATTGTAAAAAAGCTATCTCAGAAGAGCAGCAGTGGCACTGGCCAGTCCCTGAATGTCATGGAGCTGGGCGCTCGGTGTGGGCCATCGGCTCCTCAGGAGCAGGCAGTGAGATGTGCATCCTCCCACACAGCAGCATTACCGGTCATCGCATGCTTCACCAGGACTTTCAAATCCAGCTTACCAGATAGCCACAGTTATGAGCACCCCATAGTGTTTACTTAGGGAGGGTGAGCCTGCATCATACCCCACTTACCACCCACTAATGCTGGCCTCTTCCTTCAGTACAAACCCATTTTTTGCTGAGGCTGTGTGTGAGATACCACTGAATGGGGGCAGGTTAGGAGGCTGAGAGGCTGTGGGTAAATTGTGTGGTATTGACATGATGCTGCCGCAGAGTGTAGGGGTGTGGTGCACATTCTCTGGTAGGGCTATAGGTCAAGGTTAACCTGATCCCCACCTCGGGTTTAAATTCTAAGCACTTCCTCAGGAGAATTCCCCACCCACAGGAGGACACCTTTCAGCTCAAGGTCACAGAGCTGCTTCTCCCTCTAGGGTCATGCTAGGGTCCGTGCCAGGTAAGAGCTGATGACAGCAGTGGCATCTGGTGTAGGTCCTCAGGGCAGGGGCGGGGCTCGGTCACAACTGAAGGTTTGCAATACGGTGGCTGGCCTTAGAGCAGCTGCCTCATTCAGCTGCACAGAGCTTCACCCTCTGCAGATTCACCCCCAGTCCACAGGCATTTTATCTTTGCTGCTGCTCAGGACATGCTGCTGCAGTGTTTTAGTTTCAGACGTATGCCTTTCTTCTGTCACCTAGAACCTTCATTATCTAGGCTAATCTGCATGGGAAGCAGGATAATGTGCTGGCCATATGGTCTGGGAATCTGTATCCCTTGACCTTGAAAATTGACATTTTATGTACTTGTCTGGACCTGCTCTTTAGTAACAAGGCCGGGGCACTTTCCCCTGACCCATAGGGCTCATTTTCACCTGTTTTGGTTTTCACTTTGGATTATTAGTCATTGGTGAAAAGGTAGAGGACATTTGAGGGAGCAATGGTATGGCTCTAGTTGATTTAAGCATTCGATGAACACTGAACAGTGGTCCTCTAACTAGAGCACATATCTGCATCACCTGGAGGGCTTGTTAAAGCACAGGCTGCTGGGCCCACCCTCACAGTTTCTGACTCAGGAAGTCTGGGGGAGGGTCTGAGAATTGACATTTTTAAGTTCTTGATGAAGATAGTGCTAGTCCAGGAATGAAACTTGGAGAACTGCTGAGGTAGAAGAGTCTTTAAATCTAGCCCTGCCTTTTCCATTAGTTGACCTAATACTAACTCTTGTCATGACAGATTATGATAGATGGATAATGCATGGATGGATGGGTGACTGGACGGATGGGTGGGTGGGTGGATGGATGGGTGGGTGGATGAATGTAGGGGTAGATGAGCAGGTATGTGGGTGGGTGGACGATTGGATGATGATAGATGGATGAATATGTGGGTGGATGGATGGATGGATAGGTAAATGAGTTAGTAGATAGATGGATGAGTGGATGGATGGATATAAAGTAGATGGAGGGGTAGGTGGATGGGTGTATGGATGGATGGATGACTGGAGGGATGGATGGGTGGGTAGATGGATAGATAGAGAGATGGATGCATACATGAGTGGATACATGGATAGATGACTGGATCACTGGATAGATGGATGGGTGGGTGGATGGATGAATGGTTGGATACATAAATGAGTGGATGCATGGATGGATGACTGGATGTATGGGTAGGTGGGCAATGGTTTGATGGATGGATAGATGGGTGGGTGGATGCATAGATGAACAGATGGATGGATGGATGCATAGATGAATGAATGGGTGAATGAATGGGTAGATGAGTGGGTGGATAGATGGGTAGCTGGATGGATGTGTGGGTGGATGAGTAGATGTGTGGGTGGGTGAATGGATGGATAGATGGATGAGTGGGTGGGTGGATGGATGATGGATGGATGGTGGAGGATGAATGGGTAGATGGATGAGTGGATGAATGGATGTAAGGTAGATGAATGGATGAGTGGGCAGATGGGTATGTGGATAGATGGATGACTAGATGAATGGGTGGGTGGGTGGGTAGATGGATGGATGAAGGTGTGGGTGGTAGGTGGGTGGGTGGATGGATGGATGAAGGTGTGGGTGGTAGGTGGGTGGGTGGATGGATGCATGAAGGTGTGGGTGATGGGTGGGTGGATGGATGGATGAAGGTGTGGGTGGTGGGTGGGTGGATGGATGGATGAAGGTGTGGGTGGTGGGTGGGTGGGTGGATGGATGGATGAAGGTGTGGGTGGTGGGTGGGTGGGTGGATGGATGGATGAAGGTGTGGGTGGTGGGTGGGTGGATGGATGGATAAGTGAATGTATGGATGGATGGGTGATGATGGGAAGATGGATGAATGGGTGGATGGATAGGATGCCTGGATGGATGGATGGATGGATGGGTGGATACATAGATGAGTAGATGCATGGCTGGATGGGCAGGTGGGTAGATGGGTGGGTAGATAAATAAGTGGATGTATGGATTGATGGATGACCAGATGCATGAATGATGATGGATGGGTGGGTGGGTGGATGGATAGATGACTGAATGGATGGCTGGGTGCATGGATGGATGATGATGGATGAATGGATGGGTAGGTAGATGGAGGGATGGATGGATGTGTAGGTGGATGAGTGAGTGGATGTATGGATGAATGGGTGGGTGGGTGGGTGAGTGGATGGACAGTTGGATGGATGAGTGGATGGATGGAAGGTGGATAGATGGAGGAGTGAGTGGATAGAAAGTGAGTGGATGGATGGCTGAGTGGATGTATGTATGTATGAGTGAATACATGGATAGAAGGTGAATGAGTGAATGGGTGGATGTGAGGATAGATGAAGTTACATGCAAGACAGCAAAAATATAAGGTATATCATATCATAAAATTTAAATACCTCCCAATGAGGACTAAACTTGTAGCGTTTATATATTGAACGAGCAAATC